GCAACTATGTTGTCCTTTCCACTGATGTGACGTATGTCGGTCGTGAATTCACTTATGAAAATAAGTTGTCTTGCTCTTCGTGGTGTTTCCGATAGCGATGGTTTCTTTGGAAGTACATATGTTAATGGCTTGTGGTCGGTAAAAACGATCAGGTTTCGACCCTCGAACGTTTTTCTGAAGTGCTTGATAGCCATGTAAATAGCGAGTACCTCTCGGTCGAATGTACTGTAGTTACGTTGAGTATCGGAGAACTTCTTCGAAAAATATCCAAGTGGTTGCCATTTCCCATTGCTGTATTGTTGGAGAACTGCTCCTGCTGAGAGATCGGATGCGTCGCTGAAGTGTGATGGGTGAGCGAATAAAGCTGCATTTTGGATCGCAATTTTACAAGCTTCAAATGCCTTCGTGGCTTCATCGTTCCATTCGATTGACGTTTTATCTTTTTTCTTCGTGTTGTGAAGGTAGGCGTGAAGTGGTGCTTGGATTTCAGCGGCTTTAGGTATGTGTTCTCTGTAAAAATTTATCATCCCGAGAAAACGCCTTAGCTCTTCGATAGTTTTAGGTTTTGCATAATCGATGATTGCTCTGACTTTTTCGGCAGGCGGTTTTATTCCTTCCTTGGTGACGGTGAAACCAAGAAATTGAACTTCTTGCTGTCCAAATATGCATTTCGAAGGGTTGATTGTGATTTCGTTGTCTTCTAATCGCTGTAGCACGGTGCGTAGATGGGTTTCGTGCGTTTCTTTATCAGGGCTTGCAACAAGGAGATCATCAATAAATGCGAAAACGAAATCCAGTCCATGAAGTACTTCGTGTATGAATCTTTGGAAAGTTTGACCTCCGTTCTTTAATCCTGGGATCATTCTTGGGAATTCGAATAATCCCATTGGGGTAATTATTGCTGTCTTCTCTATGTCTTCATCGCGGACTCTTATTTGTTGGTAAGCTCGGTTGAGATCGATGGTGGAGAATATAGTCTTGTCTGAAAGTTGATGAGTGAAATCCCTGACTCGCGGTATTGGGTAGCGGTCAGGAGTGGTAATAGAATTCAGTCTTCTGTAATCTCCACAAACTCGTAATTCTCCGTTCTTCTTCGGTACAATGTGAAGTGGTGATGACCAAGGGCTTTTGCTTGGACGGCATATTCCTTGCTCAATCATGTTTTCGAATTCCTTTCGAACTTGCTCGTATAGGTGTGGTGCGATTGGACGTGCACGACAATGAAGTGGTGGTCCATTGGTGTCGATGAAATGCTCAACGTCGTTCTTCGGTGTTAATTTCATTGAAGTTATTCTTGTGATACCAGGGTATTCTTCGAGGATCTTGTGATACGGTTGTTGCACATCTATGCTTCTTATTGTGGGCAGATTGGTTGCTTGTACAAAAGACTGAGATGCAAGATTGGTTTTCCCGTCGATGATTCTTCTATTTTTGATGTCGACGACCAACTGGTGATGTTGAAGAAAATCAGCACCGATGATTGGTTTGCTGACTTTAGCGACGATAAATCTCCATTTGAATGGTCGGCGTAGATTAAAATCAAGTTCCATTGTTTTTTCTCCATATGTAGGAATAACCGTATTGTTTGCTGCATAGAGTTGAAAATCTAGTGGCTTCAACTTCTGTCCTTGCTTCGGCGGTAACACTGAGATATTTGCTCCGGTGTCGATAAGGAAAGTAAGCTTGCTTTTTTTATCGGTGACGAAAAGACGGTAGGACTTTGCTGTTACGCTGGATCCCGTCGCATCGAGCGTACTAGTTAGTTTTCCGTATTCGTATTTTCATTTTTGAATGTACACGGTGCTGTGCATTTTCTTGCCTCGACCCCGAAACGTCGATGATAGTAGCAGTAAGGGGATCTTGATGTTGAGCTTATTCGACTTCTACTTGCAGAGCGGTTGCGACGAAAAGGTGATCTTCGGTGTTGCTGATTGCGCTGGTTGTACTGTTGCTGGTAAAAGGTATGATGCTGGGAAGCTTTGAGCGCGGCGACTTCGAATGATAGCTTCCGAATTTCTTCGAGAAGAAACTGGGTATCATTGGCCTTTGTTGAAGTGCCTTCGATGATCGATATGTGTGAGCTACTGCTGTTTTCGATCATCTTGTCCGCCAGGAGTGCCAGTTCGTCGAGCTTCGTCTGCGTGCTGAATGTTTCGCTGACTGCTATTACCGATCGAATATGTGGTGGTAGGTGGTTTACCCACATTAGCCGTAGTGTTGAATCCGGAACTTTATCTCGCGCCAAAGTACGCATTTTGCGTAGGAGTTGTGTGGGTTTCTGGTCTCCAAGTTCTATTTCTGATAGAAGTTTTTGTAGCTGTCGACTGTCGGATTCTTCATATGCGGAGATCAGCTGATCTTTCAGTGAATTATACTGGTCGACTGCTGGTGGGTTGTACAACAGGTCCGCAATTTGTTCGATGTCTTGTTTCTCAAGTTGGGCTATCACCATCTGTGCTAATTGCGCTTGGCTCTTCTTTAAACCATTCGTTGCGGCTTCAAAACTGACGAACCAAAGTCGTGGTTTGTCTCTCCAAAACGGTGGTATTCTTAACGATAGAGATATACCGGCGATTTCTGGTTCCTTTACCGGGTTTGATGTATATGTGTTTGCTTCCTGCTCCATAATGACGGCTTGATTACACTGATTTTATATAAACTGAAGTCTTCCTTCTCGGTGTTCGTACGGGTTTCCTTCGCGGTGTTCGTGCAATAGTAGTGGTACGTCGCAGGGTGTTCCTTCTTGGTGTTCGTACCGGATCTTCCCCCCTCGGTGTTCGTACGGGGTCACCACTGTAATAGTGGAGACGAACTGTCCACTATTAACAGACTCCGAGTGGTTTTCTTTAAGGTGGAGAAATGAAACTACTGTTTATGTTTATGAATGTACTGTCGAATGGGATTCGGAATGGAATATCTTTTGCATCAACCTTGCCTATATTTATATGGCTGGCTCACTATTGATTTGCCAATGGTAACAATTAATATTTTGCCTAGCCAATTATATTGCTTATTTTATGACCAATGAAAACTATTTAAAATATACAATTATCTACGTTTCGTTTCCCGGCGTGAGACTTGTTTGTTGTTCACGAAGCTACGTCGCTGGACCGGGCTATATAAGACATGCAGATCGGTGCGCACGCGTAGTCGGCGGGCGGCGGCGGTGTGGAATACAGCTCCGGAACAGCAAGAGGAAACGAACTGCGGCGTTGAAGAAACGGCTCACCATTGGTCGACGGATACGTGACGATAGCGGCGTGTGAAGTCGGTGTGGCGCTGAATGATATTTGCGGCTGCTTCTTGTTTCTTTATAAGAACGTCAAATTATCTATACACAGTCCGCAGTATCTCAGTAGCCAAGAATAATTAGGAAATAAAATGTTTTTTTTATTTATTCTCGCCTTCCGCGTTATGGTAGCAGCGGAGTATATATTATTTATTCCCGTTTCGGTTTGATTAATCTGGCTGCTACAAGACCAACAACTATCGGAGATACATCCTAAAGGATGGCACCGTCAACGTCTGTCGAGCTTGTAGCCATCCCGGTGAGTCACTTAGGCATGTCATCTTCGGTTGTTCGGCGCTTTCTAATTCTGAGTACTTGCACAGACATAACCTAGTAGCCAGAATTATACACCAGGAGCTCGCTCTGAAATACGGTCTCGTGGAAGCTCTACTGGGACCGGAACATCATTACAGGCAGGACTATTCTTACGAATAAGCTTGATATTATGCAGATGGACCAGGGCACAGTCAAAGATATTTTTGGTCGACATTACCATTCCGTATGACGAGAACCTCCTGAAAGCCGAAACAGATAAACAAACAAAATATCTGGACCTGGCTCACGAGGTGACCGAATGTGGGGTGGTCTGCCGACCGAAATTATTCCTGTAGTCGTCTCTGCGATTGGGATGATCCCGGTCAGCCTCTCGGGTCATCTGAGATGGCCGGGACTACGTGGTGGACCGCTCCAGGCTCAAATGCAGAAGGCGGTGCTCCTCGATACTGCCCGCATTGTCCGCCGGTTTCTTTCCCTTTCCCCCTAACCCTCGGCCGTTTGGACTCCCCTGCCGAGGGCTTCCATCTAGTTGGGCTTTTATTTATTTATGTATTTATTTTATGTGATTGATGTTTATGTATTCCCATTCACAAATATATATTTATGAAATCCAACCAGATGGGAAAACCATATAGAAACCCAAAAAACATTAATAATTTATATTTGTTATAATTTATAATATTTATAATTATGAAACGCATAATTTATAATTTATTCATTAATAAATAATAATAACTTCGTTATTTTCTTTGTTTTCTTTGAACGATATAATAATTTAAAACTAGCGCACAACAACCCGCTTTTATTGAGACAACTTAGCGATCGCCGCGCTTCACTTATTTTGTCCGTATTTCTCGGACACTATTTTCTACAGCGATCGTTCTCCTGTACTGTAACCTTCATGGTTTTGTCGCTTGAAGAATGCTTTGAAGCGGATTTCGATTCGTAAAGGTGATGCGATTTTATGAATTAAATGTCTGCGCGTGTGAATTATAAGAGAAAACGACGAAACAAGTACTTTGATATTGATATAAGCCTCGAGTTATAACGATCGCTTGGGAGCCTTATGAACTTGAGTGGCTGTCGTCATCAACTGTCTGCTGAGTTGGGCTGTCGTCAAAATCTTCCAAAAAATTCGCAATAAGACGCATCAGCATATTGTATAGAAAAAATATATAAAAACGAAAAATCCGAAAGAAATGATAGATTCAGAAGGGCGAGAATCCAGAGCCCCAGTAATAAAAAACCAGAGACCCAGTAATAAAAAAAATCACAATCACAGGTATCGTCTGTGCAGGAAAATAAACAAAGTTTCTGTTTGTTAGGTTTATTTCTTACGAAATTTTTACTATTATATTTTAAAATCGGTATAATTTAGCCTATTTGTAAGTTTGGTAAGAAAATAATTACTTTGGTTGTTGAACAATACGCAGCTATGGATGATGAAACCAGAAAACCCATTTGCCTTATAATTTTAGGTTAGATTTTTATACTTTCTCCAGTGCATTTCACACTTGATTTACCAAGTCACTTATTTTTTATGTTTCGTAGGTATGGCAGGTGCAGGAAAAACATCGTTCACACGGCGTTTGGCTGGAAAAGTTGTAGATGGTACACGGCCTTACCTAATCAATTTAGATCCGGCCTGTAGAGAAGTACCATATCCGGCTAATATAGGTGACAAATTCTTACTAATATATTAAATAATCCTATTTATTTATTAGTTATTTGTTAATTATTATTTTTAAAATTTTAGTTTCGTTAAGCTTGTAGCTATAGGCTGTTGTATAAAATTCAATCTATCCAAAATAATGACTTTGAAAAAAAATTCCTTAGCATATTTAAGGAATTAGTAAATAATAATCAAATCAGGAGACAAAACACAACTAATAATGAATACTTAGTATCCTCTTCCCCCGGACCGCAGTCAAGTGCAGACGTGTTAACTAATATTATTTTATAACAATTTAAAATCCTAATTAAATTCAGTTGTGACAAAAATTCGATTAAAAAAAATAGGAGTGCATAATCGTACCGGAATATACTACGGCCATCGATACCTAAGCCTCGAAGCCCCACCCAGCATCTACGAAGCAGGGACAACTAACTAGCTCCGCCTATAGACTAATCACTACATACTTCTGCAAGCCTGGTATCATACCACAGCCCCGAAGCGCCGCCCAGCATCTATGAAACAGGGACAACCTACTTACTCCGCCCTATAGACTATAACTACATACTTCTGCAATCCTGGTACCGTAAGTGCATGAAAATTATTAATTAATTTTACGACGACAATTGGCCATTTTTAAAATCTCCATCTACACACCACCTTGCAATATTATTGGAATTAGTGACAATATAGTTTAGTTCCGCCCTTCGGGCCAATCACTTCGTACTTCTGCTGCCCTAGTATCGTAAGCGACCAAACCGATAAGAAATGTATCGTACACCCGAAAAATCAAGCTCCGAATCTAACTTACGACAAATCTCAAGTAATACTGAATCTTCGCCATCAGCAAGCTTTACAAATACGCGTACTAAGAGGAAACGTTTGGAGGAGTCACCCATAGACTTCTGCGAGTTTAAAAATGAAATAAAAGATATGTTATCCTCATGGATGTCTCAACAAAATAGCGAAAGAATACAAATTACGTCTTCTCTAAAGACAATTGAGCACTCAATGGTATTTATGACTGCACAATTTGAAGATATGAGGAAAAAAATGGAAGAAATGGAATGCGAAAGACGGAAGGATAAAGAATACATACTCGTATTAGAAAATAAAATCGAGGATCTGCAAAAGTCGTATCGTAAATGCTCATTTGAATTAAAAAATGTGCCGAAAATGGATAATGAATCAAAATCATCCCTAATAAATATGGTTACTCAATTATCTACATCGCTCAAAGTTGAACTCAAAACTAACGATATAAAAGACATTTATAGATCCTCTCACAAGGGTGACAAAAAGCCCATAGTAGTCGAATTGTCATCCTACATACAGAAGACGAATATATTACACGCTGCAAAAATATATAATTATCAAAATAAAAACAATAAACTCACTTCGCAGCATTTGGGCTTAAAAGGCAACAACACTCCAATTTTTGTGTCGGACCATTTGACACAAAAAGGAAACAGACTGTACTACTTGGCTAGAGAATTAACCAGAACTCAGAAATATAAGTTTTGCTGGACATCGCTCGGTAACGTTTTGGTGAGGAAGGATGAGAGCTCACCGATCATAAAAATAGAGAACGAATGTCAAATCAAAAACCTGTATATTAACAAATGACTATTTTTATTTATAGCTCAGACATGTTCTTGGTTTGATATTATTGTTGTTTACCTCCTTTTCTACTTTTATTGTATATTCTGCATTGTTTACATTTTTCATATTATATATAACTATATGTACATATCACGAACACTACTATTTACACAAGCTCGCACATCAAACATCACACTCATAAACATAAAAATTAATCACCGCACTCTTTTACATACATATCTTACACCGAAAAATTTGCTGTTCTTTTATCGAAAATTAATAATAAAAGTTAATAATTTAAGTTCACTCCTGATCGAAGATAGACAAAATTTTTTCCAGTATTTTTCTCATTGCAGTAATTTTGGTGAATATCCTTTTTATGCAATGTTACTCGTAAATTTTTTTGTTACCGGACTAGTAGGAACGAAAGCCCTTTCTGAATAATAATGGATAGTTTGCTACAAACTAATACAGATATAGACAATACTGAAGTTGCCCAGGCCTTTATGTGCAGGCCTGAGGATTGCCACTCTCACATAACTACATTTAATCATTTAACCATTCTCACTCAAAACATAAGGAGTATTTATAAAAATTTTGATACTTTTCAAGTAATGTTGGACTCACTAAACATTCATTGCGACATACTAGTCATGACAGAGTGTCATCTTTCAAAAAATAAGCCCATTCCAACACTTAATAATGACTATAATAAATATTTTACAAAAAACACTTTAAATCAGTGTGACGGCGTGGTATTTTACATACATAAGAAACTTAACTACAAAATATCGGAACCTTGCATTAGAAATGCCTCTTGTCTTGTGCTTACCCTAACTGATACAGTTCTAATAGGTATATATCGTACACCTTCAATACGAAACACTGACGACTTCACCACATCTCTTCAAACCTTACTCCGCCGTTATAAAAGTTATCAAAACATTATTTTAACCGGTGACATAAACATAGATATCAAATTCGGTTCCATAGACACTAACTGCCCCAATTATTTAACCTCACTTGCTTACCATGGATTGCTTCCTGCTCATAGGCTTCCAACTCGTGACAAAATGTGCTATGATCATATGATGCTAAAAACAGTACACCCAACGAAATCTCTCGTACTCACTAATGCCCCCACTGATCATTCCACTGTTCTTCTAAACCTTATGAATAAGCCTGTGCGCCGCAATGTTTCGAAAACTAAGGTTTCCGTAAATTATATAACAACTCTTGATGAAATAAAGTCCAAACTTATAAAAATACTAGACATACATGACCCAACACTGGCTGCTGATGCTTTGGTTAGTATAATTTCAGTAGCAATGAAAAATAATCAAACGATAACCACAATTCCCGTTAGAAAACGCTGTATTCAGCCATGGATAACACCTGGAGTATTACGATGTCTACGAAATCGAGATAAATTACATTATAAAGTTAAAAAAAAATCATCCTGATAATCACATTTTAAAAATAACTTATATACGCTACAGAAATCACTGTCATAAGCTTGTCCGGAAGCTTAAAAATAATTATGAAAGGAGGAAATTGGATAATGCAAAAAATAACCCCAAAATGCTGTGGAAGAATATTAAATCAATTTGCTATGTTAATAAAGATAATACTGACGACACACATAAACTTACAACTATAGCGTCCTACCCTGTAGAATCTGTAAATTTTATTAATGATCACTTTTCTAGTATAGGCAAAAACTTGGCTGAAAATTTAAAAAAACTCTGCCCCTCCTATAGTAAATAATTACATGACTAAAATGCCAACTCCAATGAATTCTTTTGTTCTACTAGATACCGACCCGTTGGAAATAAATTCGGTCATAAGCGATCTCTCTAATGAGTCTGCCCCAGGATGGGATAACATTCCAACATCATTTATTAAAATGGCCAGACACACCCTTACACCTATAATTTGCCATATCTGCAATCTCTGTTTTAAAAATGGCCGATTTCCCATAACATTTAAAAGGGCATTAGTAACCCCTATACATAAAAGTGGAAGTAAAGATGATGTGGACAACTACAGACCAATTTCTGTGCTAACAGTTCTATCAAAAATACTAGAGAAACTAATAAATAATAGATTGAAAAAATATCTCATAGATAACGACCTACTCTCTAAACACCAATTTGGTTTTAGAAATGGAATTTCTACTCAGGATGCTGTGTTAGCCTTAACTGAAGAAATAAGTAAGCAACTGGACTCTGGTAACAAATGTCTTGGAGTCTTTTTGGATTTGGCCAAGGCGTTCGACACCGTTTCTATCCCTATCCTGTTAGACAAACTATATAAATATGGTATAAGAGGCCTGCCTCACGCCCTTCTAACAGACTATCTTACCGAACGTCAGCAACAACTCAAGCTTGGTGAATATCTTAGCCGTCCATCAAATATCTCTTATGGTGTCCCTCAAGGTAGCGTCCTCGGACCTACTCTATTTTTAATCTATGTCAACGATCTATGCAATTTAAGCCTACAAAATTGTCAAATATACACCTACGCAGATGACACTGCTCTCATTTTTAACGCAAAATCATGGGAAAATCTAAGGATTATTGCTGACTCCGGAATATACCATATATCTAACTGGCTAAGATCGAACCTTCTGACCCTTAACATTAACAAAACTAAATTCATACCTTTTACCATACGGAAAAATACACAACCAAATTCTAAATTTAACCTAACAGTTCATACCTGCCATAAGCCATATTTAGATAGCTATAATAACTGCTCATGTGATAAAATCACTAGGACTAGTACCATCAAATATCTCGGTGTAACTATTGATCAGCACCTTACCTGGAGTCAACACATTGAAAACATTGCTGACAGGATAAGGAAACTAACATGGGTATTTAAAAAACTCAGGTGTGTTGCAAATGAAACAACTCTTATAACCACCTACAAAGCTCTAGCGCAATCGGTAATGAGTTATTGCATACCTGTTTGGGGTGGTGCAGCTAAAACACATCTAATAAGACTAGAAAGAGCTCTAATTAAAGTGATGTTCTTGAAACCGTTTCGATTTTCAACTTGTGAACTACATAAATCTTACAAATTGCTTACCACTCGCCAGATGTATATATTGAATTGTATTTTAAAAAAGCATCGACATTTACCTTTCATACCTCATCAGACACCAAAACGTAGGAGTGCCAAAATTTGCAATATACCACAAAATAAAACAAAGTTTAAACAAAAGCAATACGTATTCCAATCTATATCTATTTACAACAAATTCAACAGCAGATTGAATATTTACCCCTTGACGTGGACTAAAGTTAAACGTGTAGTGACTCAATTTTTATTAACACTAAACTACGAAGAAACTGAACAATTTATTACATAACTTTTATACTTCGAACAGCCACACCAATTGTTAAAGCACTACCACACAACCACAAAACACACACACACACACGCACACACACATATGCGCACACACACACACACACACACACAAACGCGTGCATGCTTAGCATGCATGCTTATCATGTAATTATTATTATATTCCAAATTTCATTTACATTCTAATGCTAGATCTTGCCGTGCTTTTTTGTTATTTATTGATTAACATAGTATTGTCTTGGTGGATGAGCGGGGTACCCAGTAATACAGGTTCCCAACCTAGTACAGGGGCCCTTGCGACTGGTTTAAAATGTATCATTGTAAATCAATAAATCATTTTTCATTTTTCATTTTCATTTAGTATGAATTTGTTTACAATAACTATTTACACATTATTTCAATTAAACAATTTTTATCTTATCCAATAGATATAAGAGATACAGTGGACTACAAGGAGGTAATGAAACAATATGGTCTGGGGCCTAATGGGGGCATTGTAACTGCTCTTAACTTATTTTCAACTAAGTTTGGTCAAGTTGTGGATCTAATAGAGAAGGCTGGGCAAAAGCATAAATATTGTGTAATTGATACTCCAGGTAGGTAAATTTGCATTAACATAATATTTAAAATTAGTTGTACTCTACGACTTCATCTGTGTAAATTATTTTTGTGTGTATCAGTAATTCTTTTTCCAAAATAAAAATAACCTGAGTTACTCCTTAGAATATCTGTTATCTGCCATTAAAAGTCCCGTCAAAATTGGTCCAGCCATTTTGAAGATTAGCCAGAACGAACAGAAAGACAGATAGACAGAAAAATTAAAAAAATAATTGACATTACAAACAGACACTTTGATTTTATTTATTTGTATAGATAATGTAACTGTGCAGGATCCTGTGTGCTTCTATAGATTACTGTTGTCTTGTTCTTTATTCTTGATATTACTTAATGAGAAAAAAGTATACATTTTAACCACTTGATTTATTATACACACAATGGACAAATAATGTCTGTCTTGACAGAACTTCTTTAAGTAACTTGAATTACGGCAAAGTGTTGAGTATGGTTTACATACACATTGTACTTTCATACAGTAACATTTCATTTAAAGGTTATTTGTTAATCTTAAAAGTTCCAATTAAAATGCTACAAGTGTGTGGCAAATCTAAAATTTGTTCATTTCACATAATTAACTGATTAAAAAAAATCTCTAAAACAATGCATTTCTGCATAAAAGTATTAGAGAATTAGATTAACAAAAATAAGATCTAATCCTCATAAAAATTTATTTTAGTATTTTTAAAAACACGAAAATTTAAATTAAACTATTTGCACTCATGATTTTTTATTCAAATAACCAGTTCAGTTTTTTCTATTATGTCGCTAAGATCAAATTATAAAAATATAATAAAAATGTATTACTTCATTTATTTTGATAACAAAAAGAAAATATACCAAGCGAATGTCGGGAGCGTAAAAATCACAATTATTTCAATATATATTACTCGAAATTATTTACGTAAATAGATAAATTATATTCACACAAAAGCTTTCATACGAGATTTATGGCCTACGAAATAAATGTAGATTATAAATAAATATTCATAAGATAACAGTTTTTTTATTGCACTAAAGGATAGAGTATTTCATATTGATTATATAATGCCAAACTTCTTAATAGAAAAGTAGTCTCTATATATAAGTTTTATTATATATAGAGACTTCTTTTATGGGTTAAAGTGCTGTGGGTGGGTGCGACCTCATGAGACCACTAGGGATTTGACGGAATATGGCCGTGGTGTCATAAGACCATTTGGGGGTTTAAGGGGTTTAAGGGGTTAAATCTGTTACTATTAGTCATATGTGATTTCAGACAGATTAATATTTTAGTCTTAGATTAGAGAGCTATGTAGGATTACATAGCTCTCGTTTTGACTCATAATTTTTTTTTATAGGACAAATAGAAGTGTTCACATGGTCAGCATCTGGTACTATTGTGACCGAATCACTAGCCTCATCATGTCCCACTGTGGTGGTGTATGTAATGGATACAGTTAGAAGTGTGTCACCTGTCACCTTCATGTCAAACATGTTGTATGCATGTTCCATATTATATAAGACACGGCTACCATTTATTGTTGTTATGAATAAGGTGAGTGTTAATAGTTAAAAGCTAATGTATTAAGGTCACTTTAAAAATTTGCAAGGCATGAATGCATGTGATAGTGGACTTTACTGTGAAGTCAAGATATGGTAAATTTGGCCAAGACATCACAATAGAGTATTGATAGGGATACCATATGACAAGATTGCCTTGTTAGTCTAGTGTTCACTAATGCGTTTGCTGATCATGAGGTCCTGGGCTTGAATCTTGGTTTGGGCCAAAATTAGTTATTAAGTTGGGAAAAGCCCAAAAACAGACTCAGGAAGTTGGCAGTGTTTCATCTCTATGCTTCTAAAAGTGCATAAATACGTTGGTCCTATGCATGATTTCTCCCCAGTTGTGTCGGATTACCTTTCCATCAGACTATGAGAGTGAGGGAATAGAGAGTACACCTGTGCTTGTGCATACACTCAGGCATTGTAGTTCTGTCCTGTGCAGATGGCTAGTCTACATTGAAACTGATTGTCGTAACCGAATATTGGTCTGGAAGTATTATATGACAGGAAGGTATTTAACATGCGTGAGCACTAGATGGAGTAACGACTTGATGAAACACATAGGTAGTCAATGGATGCAGGAGCCTCAGGACTGTACTTTATGCCAATCTATGGAGGTAGTCTATATTTTGCAGTGGATTTATGATAGTTATTTTATTATTTCTTAGACCGATGTAGTGGACAGTGCCTATGCAGTAGAATGGATGCGAGACTTTGAATCATTCCAAGATGCCTTAGATGCTGGAGTTGATGGTGAAGGTGGTTCATATGCTGGGAATCTCACCCGCTCAATGGCTCTCGCGCTTGATAACTTCTATACAGACCTAAAGTGCTGTGGTGTTAGTGCTCATACTGGAGAGGTGAGTATTATTTTTTTAAATTAATTAGAAAGGTTCAGCTATAAAGATTTTATTATTTACACTATTGAAAAGTAGATAAGGTAATATGTGCCTCCTTACTGTATTTGAGCATGATATGCAAAACCCAACTTAATTATTTTATATCTTTTACATAATAAGGTCATAGTGTAGGTCAGTATTATGGCTGCATCATAGCTAGACCACGCTTGCATAGAATACCAGTGTGATATGTTACATTTCGAATAGCGAGTTGTAGCAAATAGCATAGACAGGAGTCCTCTTTTACTTGTAACAAGGCATTCCATATTAGTTTCCAGGGGTGATGAGTGTACACAGTGCATTTAATTCTGAGAGAGAAAGATGAACTTGTCTATGAGCCACAATCACTATACCCACTTACCATCTAGTGGATGGTGTGCTCGCTTTTCACCTTAACTGCTATAAATAAATATAAAAAAACACTCACGCCTGTCACCCAGAGAGGTAGGCAGAGACGTAGGTACGTATGTATAAAAATGCTGTGTTAATCTCTTCTTTAATATATAGTAGTGAAAGTTGGGTGTGGCAGAAAAAGCTCGAAAGGATAATTGCTGTAGAAATGCGGTCTTTAGGGAGTATGCTAGTGCTGTATCTGAATGACAGGGTGAAAAATTGTGTGATAAGAGAAAAATGTGGTGTGCAAGATGATGTAGTAACCAGGATTAAGAAAGGAATGCTCCAGTGGTTTGGTCATGTAGATAAATTGAATGAGGAAAGAGTGACAAAGCAAATTTATATTTCAGATGTAACCGTTTTACCCGTGGTAGAGCCATGCTGCAGTTATATTAGTAGTATAGTTGTAGCACGAATGGGTCGGCTCGACCGGGGAAGGACCACGCTCTCACAGAATACCAGCGTGAAATAGTAGCTTAATACTGCTGTATTTCGTATGGTGAGTGTAGAGAACCGGAGACCCTTTTTATTGGAAACGAGGCATTCCATCTCAGTCCTCACGGGTGACAACGCATCTGCATTTTGATTTTTAATGGAGGATAGATGTAGATGTCTATGGGCCACAGCAACCACTTACCATCAGGTGGACTGTGTGCTCGTTTGTCACCTTATTCTATAAAAAAAAACCGGCAGGGTCGGGAAGGGACGTCCTAGACGAAGGTTTATTGATCAAATTGGCGTTATTTTGAAAATGGGCCACATTAGGATTACCCTTAACCGACAAGCATGTATGCGTAGATATATGGATGTAAAGGAGGCGAGATAGGTGTGTCAGAATCATGCCAAGTGGAAGTCTGTAGTCTCTGCCCATAAATAAATCTGTACAAATTGTGTGTTTGCCTCTGACCACAGCTACATATTCACAAACTGCAGATTTCCCGAGCGTCAGTATTTGGTGTGAGTTATATATTACTGTAATTTGAAATTCAAATGAAATAGAATTAAAAAAAAATTATATTGTGTAAAAGCTACAGGTAGTAAGAGTTAACTATGACATAAGAATGTTGAATACTTCAGTTCCCAATTAGCCATGCGTGCTGCAAAGCATTTGTCATATCAGGAAATAAATGCTATAAAACCTGTAAAATTTGTTTCATTCGAGATTAGTGTACAGTTTTAATAATTTTATTTACAGGGTCTAGACGATTTTTTCAAGCTAGTGGATGAAGCAGCAGAAGAGTATGAAAAGTGAGTTCCTTATATGTGATTACAAATTTCAACATTCAAATAAAAATTAAGGTCAAGTAACAAACATATTCATTCCACTGCCATACACAGCAGGGAAAAGTCCTTCGTGCTACATTTCGGACTTTACATTATGTTCTCCAAATATTTTTAATCAGACATGCAGATTCCTATACCGTCAATCTATAATAAGAAATTTTAGAGCAAGCTGTTACTATTATTATATTAAATGAAAATAAATCAAACCCCTATTTCAGAGAATATAAAGTCGATTGGCTTAAGATGAGGGCAGAGAAGTTAGAAAAGCAAAAACGCAAAGAAGAAGAGTTAAAACAAGGAGGAGGTAAGTTTAATAATACTATAAATTTTGCCATGTGATGGTCGCTTAAGGATGCTATTTCATCTTTTTGGTGTTGTTAGAGCCGATTGTGAGAAATGTTAGGAAAGTCACATGACAAGTCTCTACAAACTAATGTATATCATTCAACAAAATGGATCATTTTACCCTTTACGTAAACTTGTTGCAATGGGTATCAGAGGTGAACTTCTTTAGATGGCTCACATTGTCAAAATTTGAAGTCAGCCCTATGTCCCTATTGGAGTTATCATTCATCAACAATTTATATAACGTCTGGCGCCCCACGAGTATCCCCATTCGAAGATATCAATGAATCTTTTGAAAGCTCCAAGATTATTTGGTATGTTGATGATATCAAAACTTATGTCTTAATAATTTTGTTATTATGTTTATTACAGATGTAGAAAGTTTTTTTAGTCTTAAAAGTTTCCTTTAATTTGGAAACATACTAAAAATACTTTTAGAAACTATACTAAAAATAGAGATGAGCTAAACATCTAATCCCATAAATTATTATAAATTACATGATATTGCTCCTAATAGAACTGATTTTATGTGAGATCTAGGAATAACTTTCGACTCAAAATTGCTATATGACACGTTGATGATATTGTTACAACATTGCGATAGCATCAGGAGGTCCACCAAAATGTACGAGGATGGGGAAATATTAATTTTTATAAAAATATATTTTTAACACTTGATAATTTTCAGACACTTCAGATACAGTCATAGACAAAAAGAAGTTAATAGAGGAGGTCGTAGCTGGGAGGGAGATAAGCGACGTGTACCTGAAGCATCCGGCGAACGAGAGCTCGAGTGATGATGAGGGCACCGAGGCAGATGTACCTGAACATGGTAAATTTAGTAGTTATTATCATGTTTACTTACTTACTTACTTACTTATCTTCACGCACAATCCCTAACGGGGTAGCCAGAGAGAACAGATCGCCAAGTGTCACGATCCTTATATACCTTTTTCGCTTCTTTCAGGTTCATTAACTTCTTCATACATGCACGTCTAGGTATCCGAGTACTCTTGACCCTCCCCTCTTCGAGCAATTTGCTCACATGGTCTTCGAAAGTTAGTCTCGGTCTACCTCGACACCTTTTAATATTTACTTTCGCTCTATATATTTTCTTCACCATTCGGTCTTCACTCATTCGTTCAACGTGCCCAAACCATTGGAGTACGCCCCTATCAATTTTTGTGATAAGGTCATATTGCGAATCTCTTCGTTTCGCATTCAGTCGGCTAAGGTAACGCCACACATTTTACGAAGAGATCGCATCTCCACTGCATTCAACTTGCTTTTATGCTTCTTCTGGCATACCCAGGTTTCGCTGCCATATAACAAAGTCGGTACCAACACTGCATTATGTATTGCAAGGCGTGCACTCTTCACCACGCCTTGCCTTTTTACTAATGCATTCAGGGCACCATTGACTTTGTTTCCGGCAGCGACACGCCTATCCACATCTAAATCACATCTTCCATCCCGGCTGAAAGCACTCCCCAAGTATACAATTTCATTTACCTGTTCTAGACATTCCTGATTTACCCATATTTCACATTTCGTTCTCTCTTCGTCCTTTTCAAATACCAGAACCTTAGTTTTATTAGCATTCAAACGGAGACCTTTAATTTCACATTCCTCTTTCATACACGTGACTAATGCCTGCAGTTCTGCTTCTGATGGTGCAATAAGCACTGCATCATCAGCATACAGCAGACAATTAACTTTTATGTCACCCAATTTCACACCCAAACAGCTATTTTTCAGCTTCTGTAAACAGCTGTCGAGATACAGTATGAACAGCCAGGAAGACATGACACAACCCTGTTTTACGCCCGCTTGGACGCTAAACATGGGTGACAGGTCATGCCCTACCCGCACACAGGCTTTACAGTCATAGTAAAGTGACTGCACAGCCCTTAACAATCGACCATCCACACCATATCCCGGCAACAGTTCCCACATTTTCTTCCTTATAACCTTATCAAATGCTTTCTTCAGATCCACAAAAGCACAGAAAATCTTCTGGTTAACACTCAGAAGCTTCTCCGTGATCATGCGGAGAGAAAACATTTGATCCGTGCATCCTCTTCCAGGTCTAAATCCGCATTGTGCCTCCCATAAGAATCTTTCCGATATTTCTCTTGCATCCTACGTGTCAAAACCTTCGAGTAAACTTTACTTGCTAAACTGGTCAAGCTGATCGCCCGATAGCACCCGCAGTCAAAATGTGAACCTTTACCTTTATATAAAGGCACAATGACCGCGGATCGCCAATCATCCGGGACATCTCCCGTCCGCCAGCACAAATTGCACAGCAGATGGAAGCTGTCCCAGACGCGAGGCCCACCGTACTTGACCATTTCAGCAGTAACTCTGTCTAGTCCCGCAGTCTTACCACATTTCAAACTTCGAATCGCACGTTCAATCTCTTTCATGCTGATGATCTCAGTGTCATCGAGATCCGTGTCTGGCGTGCCAGTCACGGCGTCACCCCCGGATCCTTCACTAAGATCATGACACTGCATACATTTCTCTATAAAATTCACTCCATCGCTGCATGACGTCCGATTTTTCTGAGAGGACGTCATTGGTTCTCGAAAGCACTTTGTTCATTCTTAAGGCTGTCGCACCACTCCGGGATCCTCCAACCTCTTTCCAGAAGAGTTTGGAGTTTTCCTTAAAGTTGTGCGACAACCTCTCGTCCGCTTCTGTTCTACACCTTTCACGTACTTCCTCAATCAATGTTTTCGCATGAACTTTCTGCAGCTTATATCTTTCTTTCATCTTCTCTCTCATATGCTTATCGTTACTAGAGGCCAAGTAGTCTAACCATGCTTTTTTCTTCTTTTTTTACAGCTTCTCTCACTTCATCATTCCACCATGCATCTCTTCTTTTACTACTACCTCTTTTTGTCGTTCCACATACTTCTTCCGCTGCACTTACCATTCCATCCCTAAGGTTCTGCCATATTCTCTCCACACATTCTTTCCTGCCATCGATGGTGTCAAGCTTTTCGGCTACCCTCGTGTGATATTTGTCCCTAGTATCCGCTTCCTGAAGCTTCCAGCTTCGGATGCGACAGACCGACTGTGGATTATCATGTTTAGTAATTATAATATGATAGAACTAAAAATGGGTCTAATAGACTGGGGCCTTCCCCATTGTAAGGACCGCGGCATAAAACACGGTTTTGAATAGTAGCATAATCCTAGTATTTATAAAATTATTAGTGACAATGCATTCCATCTTAGTCAGGGATGTCAACTGTTTCATCGGCGCAGGACAGGATTATAGTGCCCAAGTGTATGCGCAAGCACAGGTGCACTCTATTCCCTCACTCTCATAATCCGATAGGACGGAAAACCGACACGACCGGAGAGAGATCAGGCGCAGGAACAACGGCTTTACGTGTTTTCCGAGGCAAGGGGGTGAGACACCGCCAACTTCCAGACTCCGGGCAACTACTGAGAATTTCTTCACGGCAAAACTTTATAGTAAATTTTTTTGGCCCGACCAGGGATTCGAACCCAGGACCTCATGATCAGCAGTCGCACTAATACAACCACTAGACCAACGAGGCAGTTCATTTTGATTAAAAGATAGATGTAGGTGCCTTTGGGTCACAGTGACGCTTAAAAAAATCACATATATATACGTGTATTAGTCTATGTATAATTTATTACAGAATCTGAGTGAATTACAGAGAGATAAAAAGCTTGTGTTTTGATTGTCATAATGTATCTGCTTGCATCCTAGCCTACCCTTGCCTTGATTTTATCATATTAATTACTACATAAAGTGTACTAATTAACTAAATACTATATTTTACAATAGGTTTTTACCTATGTAATTGCCGTTCTGCAGTGCTGGCCATTTTAAATCAAAACACTTTTTGTTCGAGTAATTATGAGTACCGCCGTAGTGGCAGCAACGCGGCACAAGCGGCACGCAACATCAATGACGTGCGAATACTACAAATGAACGCATCACGTGTTGTTGGTTTGCGTGTTACCGCTCTGGAAATTTTGACCTGAAAAATGAACCACATGACTGTGCAAGTTGATGATACTCAATCTACGGCAGAATCAGCAGCAGCTTTCAACGTTACCATCAAAACAATACTGGTCCATTTGCGTCAAATTGGCAATATAAAGAAGCTTGACAAATGAGTGTCCCACGGACTCATTGATCGTCAGTTCGAAGTACGCATTGAACTGTGCCTTGCACTGCTCAACAGGCACGCAAACAAAGAACAGACAAAAAATGGATTCCGTTTGACAATCGCAAATGCTCAGCAAGTTAGTTGGATCTTGGTTCAGCACCTAAACAATGCCCTAAACGAAAATTACCCATCTTGGTTTAGCGCTGGTGTAATTCATCACAGCTTCTTAACAAAGGGGATGAGCATTACTGCAGATGTGTACTGTGTAGAACTGAACACAATGGTGGAGAACCTCGCACGTCTCCAACCAGCTTTTTAGTCAATCGCTCGTCATCGCTGCTCCTGCACGACAACGCGTGACCTCTACTGCGCAACAGACAGTCTCCAAGTTACAAGAGCTGAAATTGGAATTTCTCCGTCATCCGCCGTACTCACCACACCTTAGACCTACAGACTCCTACTTTTTCCGGAAATTGGATAATTTTTTGGCGGGAAAAAAATTAAATACCTGAGAGGCAGTACAAAATACCTTTAAAGAATTTTTTGCCTCCGGTCCAGTTGATTTCTTCACAAAGGGCATCAATGAACTGCCACTGCCTTGACAAAGATGTCGATGATCGATTGCATGAGTGATTACTTTGATTAATAGAAATTAAAATGTACTACGAATGTGTCAGTTCGATCAGGGAGGCACAACACTCTCATAGAATAGCAGCTTTATGCTGCTGTTTGGTGTTGTGGGTGGAGAGAACAGGAAACCCTTTTTACAAAATACAAGGTCCATCTTGGCCCTCATGGGTGACAACTTATCTGCCTTTTGATTCTTATTTGAGGCTAAATGTAGATGCCTATGGGCCAACAGTATCCACTCACCATCAGGTGGACTGTGTACTCGTTTGTCACCTTTACTATAAAAAAACGTACACACAGTCCACCTGATGTTACGTGGATGCTGTGTAACCCTTATTTTATAAAATTTGTTAGTTACAGCCTATATACGTCCCACTGCTGGGCATAGACCTCTCATTTCTGAGAGGGTTTTAGGGCAAGGATGTGTCCGCCGTGCTGCTTCAGTCCGTGTGCCGTGCTGCTCCAGTACGTGTTGGCGAACTTCACATGACTTTGAAATATATTTTTTCATATTTTTAGACATGCAGATTTCTTCACGATGTTTCCTTTACGTTTTATAAAATAAATAAAACAAAATATTTACTTAATGATTTCTGACTCTTAAAATATTTACTATTCGTGCTAATAATGACTCATTAGCTCATTACTACAGAAATTCAGTTGGAGTAGAGTGCTTGAGTGTTGCTTTAGATTGTCAATTAGGTGTCTTTTTATTTTACTATCTTTTATTTTTTTTAATTTAATTATTTTACTATTTTGTTACAGATGATAAACCTGAAGATGTTGCCATGTTCCAAGAGTTTATTAAAAAACATGTCAAACCTAATGACACTGGAAGTAATACCTAAATTTTCCTTAAACTGCTAACTATAATGTTAAGTTAAAACCATTAAGAAAAGTAAAACATGAGCTTATCAGAAGAACACTTAGGTATTGGCAGTGAGTTTTTGAATCATGGTTAAATATCTAAAATTGCAAATATGTGGAAAAATAAATGTGGTATTTTGATTAAAAGTATATCACTTATATTTAAGGAGCGTGCATATTTGGCTGATTGTATATCAGGTTGTTTACTCTTTCAAACGCCTATTCCCTTTTTTAAAACGGAATGGCGATTACACTGGTAGAGGAAAATTGTAATCACCAATTCGATTAAGCCCAGAAACTTTATTTGAAGGATCAGCCGGTATACTGACAGAATGTAGTTCCGAATCACTTGAATTTTATTTTAACAGAAGGTAATTTCGCACTATCAAAATTGTAGCTAGTGTTGAATCGAATGGTGATTCAAATTATTAGATCGGAAGTCTTTAGATGTTCGTCGCTAGATAGCGCCCGTAATCGCAAGCTACGAGAATGCTGAAGTTTTTACATGTTCGTCGCTAGATGGCGCCCGTAATCGCAAGCGACGATAATGCTTTTTCTCTATTTATGTAATAAAATTAAGGAGAAAGTCTGTTGTGTTAATCTTTTTTTAGTCTTTTATTCTGAACACCCTTCGTAAGTTTGAGTTCGCAGTGCTGACAAATAGCTGTGGTATCACTTGAGGGAAGTATCAGTTTTCCCTTGTCTTTATGGGCAATGAGACTGCCTTCATTGGTGTCATTTTGTGTTTCTTTGCATTAGTATTAAAACAGGTAGTATCGAAATGTACACTGCATATAGCGCTGTGTTTCGTTGGAATCCATGTTTCATCTCTACGAACTGCTTCTACCCACTTTCTTTTCCGAGAAGGGTCACTAGGAAATCTGAAAATTCGTGCATTTATGTTTGAATATTTTAAGTACAGATACTAATTATAATTTTTGCATGTATAATATTTTTATTTTATTATAAAAATTACTATTATAAATTTAATAACATCAGATTGTAGGATATTGTTATATAAATATTTTAAGTGTTATTGTATTGTACAAATAACATCATCGCTCATTCGGTCATATCGTCAAATATCGATATATTTTTCGACATGGTCAAGCACTAGTCGATGTCAAATTGACTCACTCGACAGTTTTAGTCATTCCTTCTGAATGGTATAATCCACCCATTTTGTGATGGTTGTCAGATGTCAACAATACATAGAAATATCGACTATATTTAACATAGTTGGATAATACAACATTTTATTTTACATTTGATTAAATTGTGTGATAAATAACAATAAATGTAATAAAATAATGTACTTACAAGTGAAAAGAAATAGTGCTGCTTCCGCCGCTATAGTTTTTATACCATTTAACTGAAGATTTAGTCATTTTTGGGAGATGTTTTGTTAACAAGTAAGTGCTTGAGACCGACGCAAAAACAAACTACTAAGCTAGAATTTCCTGGTTACTGACAAGAGCGGTATAGGTAAGTCCGCTTATATGTCGGGTCCAGTGGTTAATTCGTTCAAGATCTATATAATAGAATATTAAAGTTATTAAGCTTAACCTTAAAACTGAAGTAACAAACCTTTTCAAAGTCACAATAGTTTACTTCACTTAAACTTTACAAATAAATATGTAAACTAAACCTTAAAATTTTCTACATAAATATAATATAGTTATCCCTTAACTCGGATATTATAATATCTTCAGCTAACACATATGTACTAATCATATATATTCTTAACTCTTACTTCTTGTTTAATTATTTCTACTTGTAGCAGGTGAGATCTGCTAAGTTTAGTTAAGAATATAATATATTCTTATATAATTTGGGTAAAATATATGTATAAATCCTAGGTTCAAATAAGTATTGGTTTTTATAGGTTAAATAGAGTGTAAAAGGTAATGTTTTCCGAGATCAACTTAGCCTTATAAACTTACCCCCTAATTCATAAAAAAATTTAAACGATTAGTTCAATACTGTTTTTTTTTACTTTCTAGCAAATGTCAGAATGAGACAGAACAGTATTTAACTAATCAAGCGTTCAATTTTTTTTATGAATAAGGGGGTTACTGGTTTGGCTGTTTTATTCATTATAATTACTTAATACTTAATTAAGATGCGGTATTGTGACAAAAGATATAATTTCAATATTAATATCCTACTTAACTAATTTTAAGGTGACTACCGGCCAAATATTCAAATACTACTCAATTTTAAAATGTTAAGTCTCGTGGTGTCAAAGTCACTTTGACATAAAGTGATAGAGACAGCACTATACTACGGCCAATGAGAAGCGATACCAAATGTAAGTAAAACCAATCCAAGGTTATTAGGAATAGCAGGGGTGCGTAACTTTTTGATAGATAGATTATATATTTAAATAGACAATATAGTTTAAAAAAATGTCTAGCAAACCAAAAAAATATACTTTTTATAAATTTTGTTATAATTTGAATTATTGTCTAATGTAGATTTAATTTAAATAAATGCTTTTTGCGCCATCTCTTTATCATTAGGTCAAGTTTCTTTAACATATTTGTAGGTATTAATAACCATATTTCATTCATTCACAGTAAAAGTTAAAAAAGTGGGTGACTATCACCTAAAATTAAAAATTAAATTAAAATTATATGCATACTTTTCTAACATGCATCTTTAATAAATTAACAAAAGTTTTATTACTACAGCTGCTGTTAAAATAACTAAGATAACTTTAAAGTACACTCCGAACCAAGAAGTTTTAATTAAAACTACTAAACAACATTCATATATGTATATTCGTGATTACAAACATGTCGGTAGATAGCATACGACGCGCGGGGAAGTGGGGGCGAAATTGGAATTTGAGCTGAGGTTGTATAGGCTCTCTACGGCATCTTAAAATTGAGCAGCTTTTGAGCATTCGGGCATACTAATATATACTTTAGTCCAAATTATCTTTGATGGAATAATATATGTGGATTATGAGTATTTTAATTATATCATCAAGTGTGACGCCTTTAAAGTCGTTGTTAACCAATATGTTATTAGGATTTACAAAATGTTATAATACTTTTTAAATTTCACTTTTATTATGCACTGATTTATGAATTTAGTTAGTTATATTTATTTTCACAGCCACATTAATGATAAAAATTTACAAATAGAGCAACAATTAAATATTACTGGAATAAAATCACAAGTGAAATTAATGATAAACTTTTTTATTTACATTTGACTTCACCCTTACTAAAAGTTAGATGTAACCTGAAATATCAATATAGAAAATTTGAGTTAGTTTTCTTAAAACTTAGCAATACGATTCTCTTCATGGTGAGGTCAAACATTCAAACATGTGGGATTGTGGTCCAGCATTTGTTTAATTCAATTCGGATTTCGATCTTGAAAGCTTACTCACCGAACCAATTCGAATTTAGAAACATGATGAAATACGATCGAGCGCTATCGGCTCAATTAGAAACAGTTGGATAGTTTTTAACCCAGACATCATTTTTAATAAGTTAATTTAATAATTCACTTAACAGTTTTGTGGCGGTGTAAGAATATCCACTAACCCATATCATCCCATGGGCATATAACGAACAAAACAGGAGATATGCAGAAGAATATTCCTGATGGCACCTCAAAATAATCAAAAACTGCAGTTGCCAACACGCCAGACAAGCCTGGCGACAAAGGCAAATATCCTGCCCTTGGGAGTTACTGTATTCAGCAGTGGACTTGTGATAGGCTGTTGTAGTTATCATAAAAAATCACTGCTTAACTTTGTTAACTTAAACTGTTCTGATTCTTGTATCACAACAATTAAATACTTTCAAGTGTTGGTTCTGATTCTTTTAATCACAACAATTAAAGACTGAAAAGAGAACTGATGTAGGATTAACGCGCAGAATTGTTAAAATATTATTAGAATTTATTATTCAACAAGACTGTCTTGTTATCAAAGTTAAATTTTATTATTATTATAAAATAAAATATACTAAGTATCAATTTATCAACTGTTCTCTTTCAGACAGCACACATTAATACAAAAATTGACTACTTATATAAATGTATATTCTATATACTTGTAAGTATTCAAACATCACAGATTAGCTAACATTGTGATTTAAGTTCACAAACAGTTGCTCATACATTTATGTATTTATGTTTTAATTTTAAGTGTACAAATTTAAAACAAATTTATTAAAAATCAATGTATGTAATAAATAGCTGTTGCATGTAGTTTAAATACTTAAAATATTAATTAACTTATTTTTGTTGAATAATTGGTATACAGAATTTAGATCGGTTTACATAAGATTTGTGTAAATGTATTTGATTGATTTAAAATTATTATCAATTAGCTTATAATTTAGAGTTTTTGTTTATTCATAAATAAATAAAAGCATACATGTCCAGAAAGTGCGTCCAAATTGGCCATGTTAAAAACTGCCAATTTGGGCTGTGTTGTCACTGGTAGCAGACAAAAGATATCTGTTATGGCTCCTATCACTGCTATTATATTATCATATGTTTGTGATCATAGATATATGTTTCATAGGATTCATGAGAAAACTATGACATTGTAGTTGATAGAAGTCAAACATACAAAATAAACTAATAGTTTTTTCATATTTCTATGATCTCATACATACTATGATAATTTAATAGCAGCCTTATAAAGGTTTGAGCTTTGCTCAATAACAACTACATTTCATTTTGAACAACAATATTGAACGAACGAAAATATGAACGATAAACTTGATCAGTGGATTATTCTCAGGAAGCTACTAATAGGATCTTTTACTCATCGGGCTTTGTATCCATCCGCCGATAGCGCTCATTATTTTCAAATATCAATGAACAAGCATATGTTTGACATGATAACTGTAAAAATCATTTATGTTGATAGTTTGATCACGTTTATTATAATTTTCTACGATGTCGTTTTTTACAATAATACATGCTTTTATTATTTAACATCTTCGATCAACAATATATAACTAGATGACGAATCGGCAATTCAAATGCGGCAAATAGCATCTTACATACTCTGATCTAAATACTTTTTCATGATAACTATTTTGTACTTTAAATACAGAAAATAAGGTTGATTTTAGTATAACTATTTACACTGCATCACATTTTCATTACTTAGTATGATCCATTACTTGTATGTATATGTTATGCACAAAATAAATATATTGTTAACTATTTTCTCAGTTGATATGCAATATACGAATGGATTAATATGTAATATGAGAAAACACGGCTATCAGAATTCATTATGATAGCCGTGTTTACTTATATGTTAGTTGTATATTGTTGATTGAAGCATTAAATTTATTTATTTCAGTTTTGATCATTACAATTTATACTGTCGCTTAATTGAACGATGTGTTTAAATCCGTGTGAGAAACATTTTTAATGTATTAAATATTTGCTATACAGAGTTTAACTGGTCCATATGACACTCGTTTTGTTCTGCTGGTCGTGTAGTTTTGTTCACTTGGATGGTTTTGTGTTCATGGATAATATTGTTTTCTTGAACAGTTTTAACCGCGTGTGTAGTGTGTCCGTCTGAGTGCCTCTGATCACGGCCCGCTCGTTCCAAAGATCCATCTGGTAACAACCACGCGGGACGATAGTGCACGCGGCCATTTTCTATGTAAGCTAAAGATTCGTTCGGCCATGTATTAGCTGTGCTGCCTATCGATGTATAACTAAAAACGGAAGCCTTATATTATAATGTATGTGGAACAAACTAAGCAAATTTTCGAGCGTGTTTATATATAAATTTGAAATATATTAAATTTATGTTAAAAATATAATCGAAAAAGATTGTAATATAGATGATGATATTGAAAAAAGTATATTCAAATAAGTGTAGCGGCGGTGTGAGAATATTCCCTATCCCATACCGTCTTGTGGGTGTCGTAAGAGGAGACAGACGGAAACTGAAACAGGAGCTTGGCAGCAGCATCGAACGCTTGGCGGGTAAGTTGCCAACTTACCCGCCAAGCGTGGCAATACTACGGCAAAATCGCTCCTATGAGGCAATCTATGGGGCAGGCCTTCAATAGCCCGTAACAGATGGATGAATAGAGATGGAGTGACAACCTGGTAAGACATGCATGAAGTCGATGAGTGCAGGTGACTCAGAACTATGTATACTCACATTCCTTAGGCAGGCCTATGTTCAGCAGAAGACTTGTGAAGGGCTACGCTGAATGGATGGTTTGATGAACATTTAAACAGTAAAGTTTATTAAGTATTTTTTAAATTACCGGCCTTTTAAAGTCCATGTATAGGCAATTTCACGAATGCGCTAGTTTTTTTTTATAGGATAAGGGTAACAAAGAGCACAGTCCACCTGATGATAAATGGTGGTTGTTGTGGCGCATAGAGAGCTACATCTATTCTCGATTACGAATCAAAATGCAGAAGCGTTTTCACCCGTGAGGACTAAGATGGAATGCCTCGTTTCCAGTAAAAGAGGTATCCGGTTTTCTACACTCAACATAGGAAACAGCAGCGTTAAGCTGCTATTTTACGCTGGTATTCTGTGAGATCGTGGTTCTAGTCGGACGAGTCGACCCATTCGTACTACAACTATACTACTAATATAGCTCCAGCATGGCTCTACCACGTACTACGACTAATATTCGTCACGCTGGGCAGACCGGTTGGTGTAAGCAGAGGCGATACCCTCTGATAGTTAATGCACCTGCGCATTACGAATCTGTAAAATTTGAGTTTAATATTTTTGGCCGGGTTTTCCGCTGTAAGTTAATGGCTACAGCTTCGACCTTCATCAGCAGAATCAATCGCGTACAGGCATAGTAATTAAGGGACAAAGGTAGCATATTCTCTTTCACACCATATTTAGTATAGTATAAATTATTAGACTTTTGTCACAATCTCAAATATGTTAATTTAAAACAGAAGTATAAGGAGACTTACCCTTTGTCGTACAGGCTACAATAGGGCACCTGTCGGTGTAAGATGTAACTCCATATCTGGTGATAGGTCCAGTTCAACAGAGGCGACACTCGCAATATCCGAGGCCAGCCCGGATCAGTATGCTGTAAAGCCGATGTTTGATAATATTACTTGGTAGGATACATCATAAATACATTTTCAACATTGATATTTTAAACTTTTTGTTTTTATCATACATAGCGGTGCGAAAGTTGTGTAGTTATTTAATAAAAACGTAATTGGACATAGTGGTGCAAAACGGCGGCTTCAACCAATATAAAGTTACTTTTGAGCTGTTGTCGTTTGGAAGTCTAAAGTTTGAATCGGTATCCAGTGATAATAGCTTAATTTTATTTGTTTTTAATTTCGTTTTTATTCTCTGACTTTTTCTAAATTTGTTTTTTTTTTTTACATGAAATAGGTACATACAAATTTTGGATATACAGGGATCCTTTATTGACCAGAGTTTGGGTTGGAATTGGATCTTCTTTGTGTACTACACAAAAGTATTTAAATCTGGATTCATTACAGATCCCATATCGTTAATCCACGAGTGAAATGTTAATACTAAGTTTTTTTTTAATAAAACTGTAGAGTCAAACGAACTTAACAGTCCATTTGATGGCAAGTGCGACGTTCGTGGACACCTCCAGCCAACTTTTACAAAGCAAGATACAGATGCATTGTTATGTGTGAGGATTAAAATGGAATACCTCAGCTTGTTACACTGTCTATACTCTTAGGACCGGAAACAGTATTGTAAGCAATGATATTTCGCGCCAGAAATAGGTAACAGGGTGGTTGTGGTCCAGACGGAACTCTTCATCCCAGGCAGAAAAAGAATCCTTACTAAATCAAGTAATAATTGTTATAAAAGTATATTATCCTCCTCGTTGACTATTATAATACATACACAGAACGGCGGAGTGGGCGGAGCCCGTGTTGCCACTAGCATGTCAGTAACATGTCAATTCACACCTATAAATGTCAACACAATCAATCGTTTCTCCAATTTGCGTGTTAAGTGTCGCTGCATGCAAATTTTAAAAATGGCGAAATTGTGCAATAAATACGTGTGGAAATAACAGCGGGAAATGGAACTTAAATAAAGACATATCCTACAACTCGTAAGTCGAAACTATTTATATATTTTGTGAATATTAGAAACAAAAATAAAGAAATATTGATGTGTCAAAACATGAATCAAAATGTTAAAATGTGTAATTTCGCTCAGTCTGTGTACACAGCGAATCGGGTTTGTAGTAGTGACAATACGACGTAATTGCTTGTAAGTGTGCTCCCGGCGACGCCGATCCTCGTCCAAAATAAGGTTGACTGCCATTCTATTGTGTATTATAGTATTCTATGATCCCCCTATTTCTATGTCAATTTTGATTAGAACCCGTCTAGCCGTTCAAATGTGATTGAAGGACAAATTGGTGTAAGAGGATTTTTATAAAATTAAACTTATATTCACCTGCATAAATTTTAAATTTTCACTATAAGGATCTGTCCGTCGAGTCCCCATCAAGCACGCTTTTAAATTTTTATCGTTTTCTGTTATCGTTTGTAAGGCTTCCTTTAGTACTCCTTCTGTCACGATAAGATTTATTCCATAATGCGTTTCTATTTGCTTCACGAAATTCTCAATTTCCTTGAACGGATCTTTGGTACGAATATAAAGTACTTTAAGTTCTTTGCCTATGTCTTCTCTTTTGTACATATCCTGCAATACGTTTATAGTAACGTCTAATAGTACAGTACAATCCTTCCCACCGTTGAAAGATAGGAAAACTTCGTCAAGTTGGTACTGTGTAAAACATTTTCGTATTGTCTGTGAATGAAAAAAATGTCTGTTGAAATGACCGATCACATCAATTGACATTTTATTAAAAAACAACAACCACTTTATTTTTATATTATTTTAATTACACACGAGAAAATGTCCAGATGCTAAAAATTATCACATCATAAATAAATCATCATCAAGACAGCCTTTCAAAATCCACTGCTAAACATAAGCCTCAAGGAACGTCACAAAGTATGGTCCTGAGCGACGTGCATTCACCGAATTCTGCATCTCTTACCAGGTCGTCACTCCATATATTTAGGAGTACGAGGTTGCACTTGAAGACCTTTTACCCCATCGGTCGCCGGTTCTTCGAGGTATATGGCCGGCCCATAGTCACTCTAGCTGACGTTTCAGTTGGGCTATATCGGTTAATCAGGTTCTTTTGCGGTATCCTTATTTCTAAGTCTATCACGCAGAGAAACTACGAGCATGGCCCTTCATAGTTCGCTGAGTGGCCTTGAGCTTCCTGTATGAGTATATAATGCAGGTTGTAAGTTAATTAAAATAAATTAGTTGTTAACTTACCTTCTTAGTCTTTATATTCTTACTATACCTACTACCTACTCACATACCTAGACTGTTAGACTAGACATTTAGACTTTGTTCTGTACATAGTATGCTGACTTAAACTTAATTATTTAGCATAAAGTCAAACCTCCGTGGTTTTTTGAAGTTAATTAGACCTGTATCTGTATGTAATTTTTTTGATCTGAAAATAAATTAAAAAAAAGGTAATTAAACTCGCCTGTTTAGTCTCCTTTAGAACTGTTGTGACATCTGGCAGATCCATAGAAACGTTTTCGAATTTCTGCGACATTGGACTTAGATATAGGTACGCCTGAACAAAGAAAAGAAATCTTAATGTTGCATACGCTAAAGGCTCTTTTGGTTTGAGAGTTCTGCAAAGATTGGATAATTTGGGTAGGGAAATCAATCAATTGATATTGAATAGGGAAATTCGAGAACAACGTTCCAAATTGAAGCCAAATGACGATCGTTTCGGTTACGTTATTTCCTTTGTATATGTAAGCAGGTGATAACGAAGAAAACGTATATACATATGTATCAATGTTAGACCTTAAATTCAACACATTAGGGATATAATAGCATGTAGTAGGTATTCAAAATTATCGTACATTATGAACTGAACACCTATAAGTGATTACTAATTAATTCACGCTATTAATTATTTCACGTTGCAGCTATATGGTTGCAGCACGAATACGTCAGTTCGATCGGGTTGGACTAGGTACGCTCTCATAGAATATCAGCGTGTAATAGCAGCTTGATACTGCTGTGTTTCATATTGTGAGTGTAGAGAACTGGAGATCCTTTTTACTGGAAACGTGGCATTCTATCTTAGCTCTCAGGGATTACGCATTCAGCATTTTGATTCTTAATCGAGAATGTAGATGTTTATGGCCAACAGCATCTACTTACTATCAGGTGGACTTTGTGCTTGTTTGTCACGCTTATTCTATAAAAAGTAAATGTATGTACGCATAATTAACGACGATATGATCTAATTTAAATTGTGTAGTGGCGGCATAACATAATAAGTTACAGTGTTGTATAGGTGGGCTACGCTAGAGGAGCAGAGCACGAGCTGAGCACAAGCTGAACCGCTGTACTCGCGGTGTCAAGTGTGGACCTCAGATGAAGTAAAAAAGGTAGATATCGCACCTAGAACAAGAAACTGTAACCAATTTTATAACTTTGTGTGAGTCAGAGAAGTGTTGCCACTTTTTTTAAAAGTCCCCGAAAAGTCGGGATACAATACTACAACTATAAAAGTAATGTGCGATGCGAATGCGAAAGTATATCTGTCTGTTTCAATAAATTTCAACAATTTGACAATTCAAAAAAAGATGAAGCACGTAAGGAGGCGTCTGTAGATCATTCAAAAATCTTTTTGATAGATTTTCCAATGCGCGTGCAAGCATCGATAAAATATACAACATATGTAAAACATGTTTATTATTTATTTATTTTATTTTATAGGATAGGGTGACAAACGAGCGCACAGTCCACCTGATGGTAAGTGGTTGCTGTGGCCTATAGACATCTACATCTATCCTCAATTACGAATCAAAATGCAGATGCGTTGTCACCCATGAGGACTAAGATGAAATGCCTCGTTTCCAATGAAAAGGGTCTCCGGTTCTCTACACTCACCATAAGAAATACAACAGTATTAAGCTACTATTTCACGCTGGTATTCTGCTGAGATCATGGTCCTTCCTCGGTCGAGCCAACACATTCGTGCTACAACTATACATCTAATATAACTGCAGCATGGCTCTACCACGAATATTATAAAAATAACAATAATAAAAAAAAACTAGTTGGAATAACAAATAAATGGCACAAAGGAGTGTTCTAATTTGTACCCCGGGTAGGAGAAATATGAAGTATAGGGCGGAGAGGATAACTGAGTCTCGGTTAAAAAGAGCATGGCCGGCTTCGCCGTCACCGGGTGGTAGTGGATAGCATTAAGATTGGAATGAAGTGTCCTGCTGTTGCAAAAATTCACGGATAGCGTGACAGGGCTCGCCTTGGTCTTATTGATCCGCTCGCCCCTTGCAGTTTTAGTAGCGAGCAGAATTCCCCCGCCCCTTCCCACAGAATACGTGGAGTAGCCTAAACACTAATGGTAAAAAAGGTCTCCAAGTCTCTACACTCACCATACGAAACAGCAGCATTAAGCTACTATTTTACGCTGTTATTCTGTGAGAGTGTGGTCCTTCCCCGGTGCTATAACTATACTACTAATAGTATAACTGCAGCGTGGCTCTACTACGTAAACAATTCATGTCTTATTAAAATATTCGTTGGTAGCCTGAATTCATAAATATTTTTTGATGGTAAAATAGTTTGTAAGTACTCAACAATTAAAACAGAAACATCGATGACTTAAAAAATTTAATATTTACCTTGACTTAAATTTAATGTAACATAATAACAACTAATTAAAAAATATGCTGACTACATATATTTTTATAACTTAGCCAAAAATTAATTACCCAAATCTTAGACCATTAGAAATAAGAAATACTGGCAACATTCTCCCGTTACGTAATCTCGAAGCATTGACATTCGTGCTTCGAATAACCTTCAAAATTGTGTGGAATAACAAATTAAAATATAGTTAAATGAGTGTTTACGAGTGAAACGATATTGCTTCAGACTTTTTGTTCACTTTGGTATTGTTTTTGCACACATTTAACTACACAGGGCGGCATTTTGTAGGCAAATTTAGTGCACCACGCCCCGGGAAGTACTGAGCGAAAATGAGCGTAGTTTGATGCATGTGTGTGCGTGTGCTTACATATAGCAGCGGAGTTTTTTGGCTTCACCAATAACAAAGGCCGCGCTGTATCTACCTTTTTTTACTTCATCGTGTGGACATACAACGAGCCTACAACAATCACTCTTCTCGAAAGTAGTTTCCCGCAGTGTGCTCGCGGCTCGTGGCAGTCTTGGTATATACGAAACCATGCATCAATCTTCTTATTTTTTTACAGTAATCCTCATGTTTCGGGTCCCATATCGTTAGATTATTTTGATATAATTCAATTAGTTGCAAGCAATCACCTTCTGTCCACGTTTCCATGATACTCAAGCGAAACGCCTGTCACTCAACATGTCTACGAGCGCACTACGAGCGCGATCCAAATCTCTTTGTAAAAAACCGACAACAGGTGGAGCAAAGTCGAGCACGAGCCAAACGCTCGCATTGCGCTCGTTCGAGGCTTGTAGGTAAGTCGGGCTACACTACACGAATTTGTGCTCGACTCGTTCTCGGCTCCTCTAGCGTAGACCCACCTTAAGATGCGATTATTGAAAATAGCAGAAAGTTCTCCTATACTTGGCTGTATAATAATAAAACTTAGATCGGCAACGGGGAGCAGTGTCAAATGTGTGGTACTTTATGGTACTGCGATCATCAACCTGCTTAGCAAACGTAGCGATTACGGTAAATCCTCCCTGTAACGGGGAGGCCTATGTCAAGCGGTCGACTGTTACGGGCTGGTGATGAAGATATGATCTACAAGATTATGTGTGGCAATGGCAGTGGCAATCTCTGGTTTCTGATGTTGTTAATGCTAGCCTTTTGGCATTTACAGCTTCATAGGTCTCATGGCCCGCTGACTTTCAGGCCGCGTGCTGTAAAAAGGTGATTTTAATTTACTCCGCATCGTTACTTGAGTAACGATGACTCCTATAAGTTGGTACAGTGCACGTTGGTGAGTTATCTAACGGTGGTCCGAACAGGGGTGGCGGGCTCCGTCTCTGACGGCCAACTCGTGTCGTTCGATGTTCTGGGCGGCGAGAACCAGAGGGACGGCGGGTGTACGGTGAGTACACGGTGTGGAGGGGTGTGCGGATGGAGCACAGCGAGCCCGAGCCCTAACAGTGTTTGTAGCACTAGGTGAATGTGTAGTGTCTATGTGTGACGGGCCTGAGGTCCCGGGTTCGAATCCCGGAGCGGTCCAAAATCAGTCATAGTGATTTTTTGTCAAGAAATACGCAGTAGTAGCCAAAAGTCATTTAATTGGCGGTGTTTCACCCCCGTCCCTCGAAGAGCACGTAAAGACGTTTGTCGGTCCGCGGTCCTCGCCATCGGACTATGAAAGTGAGGGAATAATAAAAGTGCACTTGTGTTAGCGTATATACTCGTGCTCTAGAACCGTGTCCTGCGTAGATGGAGAGTCTTCGTTGAATCTAATTACCGTGACCAAAATTCAGCCTTTAGGACATTAATATTCATAACAGCGTATTAAAAGTCCACCGCTGAAAATAGGATTAGCCACAGCCAAGTTACGCTTAGGCGCTGATAGGCTGGGGGTTGTCAACCGCAGTTTTTATTATGTAGGTCAAAACTATTTCTAAGAATCATTTCTTTGTTTTATTCCTGATAAAAACTTTTTATGCCAAGTGGTGACTTAAATTAGGTCAACGGAAGTAATTTGGTATTTAGGTACTGTTTTCGCAAATCTTGGGAAAAACACCAAACGGTATTCGTTAAAGGTCATTCAGGTTTACGCACCAACCTCGGCACATCCCGATGAGGAGGTGGAAGAAATAATAATTAATAATTTATTAAACTTTAAATTTGTAATACACACAGAAAAAATCTTACATGAAATAGCAATAAAATTAAGTAAAACACTAGTGAGGGTGACGAAATATATGAGGATATCTCTAGACAATCTAGAGCTATGCATTCCTCCAAAACCTACTATACTGTGTTAATAGGAGACTTCAACGCAAAAGTAAGCACAAGAGAGAACGGTGAGCTGAAGGTAGGGAAATTCGGGGGAACAAAACCCAAAAGGCTAGCAGCTGGCCGATTTCATAGAGAAAGAGGGACTCTTTATGATGAAATCTTTCCACCACAGAAAGTAGACCTGGTCGAGCACCGACGATTCGACACAAAATTAGATTGATTTCATTATGACGATTACACGGCAACTGTTCAGTGATGTCTCAGTGATCACGAGGGTGAAAACTGGCAGCGATCACCGAATGGTGAGAGGCACACTAAACGTAAACGTTAATTAGGGTAGGTCACGTCTAATGAAGTCAACGCTCTGTCCCTCTCATGCTCTAACCCAAAGCTCCGAAAACTTTCATCTCGAGTTAGAAGATCGTTTTCAGTGCTAGTCTTTAACTACGATGCAGTGGCCGATGTGAATGAGCTCGTCAAATTGTCTATGCCATTTTGTCTAAGTTCTGCACGTGCAGAACTTAGCTCAGATGGCATAGACAATCCCGTCGTAGAAGAACACGAAAACTCTTCGATTACACTCTTAATTTCAGAGAATTTCACGCAAGTGTGTGTAACGATCCAAGAGCAAGCCTAATCCGACACAATTCCGAAGTGTGTATAACGATATCCAAGAGCAAGTCTTATCCGACACTATTCCGGTGATATCCCGGACGTTAGTTTAAGCGAGATAGGAATGGCTATCCAGCACCTTAAAACGGTAATGCCCGGGACGAGGATGGAATTAAAGCGGAGATTTTGAAAGGTGGAAAATCAGTACTTGAAGTCCTTCAGAAATTCTTCAATTCCGTCCTCAGTGATGGCACTACTTCGAAGGCGTGGAGAAGTGCGGTGGTCTTGCAGTGAAAGGCAACAACGCTCTTTTGAAGAACTACAGACCGATTTCCCTTCTGAGCCGCGTCTACGTTCTGTTTTCGAGTCATTACGAATCGGAAGTCCGAAGTGTACAATCTGCCACTTTGTCTTATGTATGCGGTGTACTATGAGAAAGCCTTTAATTCCGTCGAAATTTGGGCGGTGCTACAGTCTCTTCAGAGGTGCCAATGTGATTGTCGGTATATCGAAGTGCTAAAGTGTTTGTACAGTAGGGCTACGATGGATATCCGAGTACAGAATCAGAGTACGAAACCTATCCGAATGCAGAGAGGCGTAAGACAGGGTGACGTTATATCCCCGAAACGCTGAGCGCTTGCGAATGTTGACCAAAGTTTTCGGACGACCACGAGGTTCATTTTTCAGAGCGAAATTTTCAGATCGGAAGCGAGTAAACCAATAACAGGTGGTGCGTTTGTTAGCAGTATTCTCCATAAACGTCGTAGATGTTACGTGTCGCTTGTGCCGCGTTGTTGCCATGACAGTACTCATATTCCATAATTACTCAAATTTTTTACGTATCCATGATGACGAAAGAGATGTTTTTAAAATAAAATTTATTTGAAATTAAAATTCTAAGCCAAACAAAAACTATTTTGATTTTAAATGGGTAGTACTGCAGAACGCTGCATTGGAAGACGTTTTCAAGCTATTGGACTGGAAAGGATACGGTATTAACATCAATGGCGAGTACATCACTCACTTTCGACATGCCAACGATATAGTTTTTATGGCAGAATCGCTGGAAGACCTAAGCACTATGCTCAGTGGCCTCAGTAGTGTTTCTAAACGGATAGGTCTTAAATAAACATGGACGAAACAAAGATCATGAGTAATGTCACACTAAATCCAGTAGTTGTTGGGAGCACTAAGCTCGAAGTTGTTGACAAGTATGGTTTACCAGTGACAAATAGTCCCAATAGAAAAGTCCAATTTCGACGACCCAATTCAAGTCGGTTGGGCAGCGTTGGGCAGATCACGACACATCTTCTCGTCAGGAATCTCAAAACTGTGAACTTTGAACACTCAAAAGTGGTGACTTATAGATCTGAGACGTGGTCCTTCACTGCTGACCGTTAGAAGAAGTTAAAGGTCGCTCAGCGAGCTACGGAGAGGGCTATGCTCAGGTGTTTCTCTGTGTGTGCGAAAGGAGGACATCCGCAGAAGGGCCAGAGTAACCGACATAGCCTAGCGGATTAGTAAGCTGAAGTGGCAATGGGCCAGCCATATAGCTCAAAATACCGATAACCGAAGGCGAAGCGAAGGGCGGCCCCACCCTAAGTGACGACTTGGTGAGACATGCAAGAAGTTGGTGGATGCAGGTGGTTCAACCGTGCTTTGTGGCATTCTTTGGGGGAGGCCTATGTTTAGTAGTGGACTTGTGAAGGGCTGTAATGGTGATGATAATGATGATCGCCAATCAGCCTGGCTGTGGCGATTGTTAAAGGGGACTTCAGGTCAATAAATTCAATACTTTTTAATTATCGATATCTACTAATTTTAATCTTAAAGAGATGAAAATGAATTTAACATTAGGTCTGGTCAAGTAATAAACAAGAGATGGTAATAAAACCTGATATTTGAGCCTGAATCAGTGCTTGTCACAGTCAATGAAGATGAGAAGTCAAATGTTAGTATTTTTTATATATTTCATTATTTGAGATGAAAAATTAAGTTTTATTGTTTAAAAAAGCCTTGGTTGGTTGGTCTTGGTTACTTTCCTATTATTGTCAACCTGCCTACCACGTGTAACGATTCCTCTTACAATAGGACAGACACTTGTGCTAGACTTTACGGACTAATAAAGAAGATGAAATACGGCTTAATGTAATGAATAATACTTTGTAAAAATCCATTAATAAAATTATTATTATAATAATAATATTTATTTATTAACCAGAAAACACTAAGCCAAAATACAATAAGTTCTGTGACTCCAAACACTAGGTATGGCCTGTCTCGTGAGGGTCAAACAAAATTTTTTTTACAATAAATCAAAGTGGCTATTTGTCGAAATTATGTAAAACAATTATGCACAGCAAAGCAAAAATGACTTAAAATTTTTAAAAAATTACAGACATAACAAACAGATTTTAATTAAATGGAGCGCGCATGTACTTGTGGGTGAGCGTGTATGAAAGTTTTTGTGTGTGTGAGAGAGCATAATGCTAGCATGCCTATTACATGATTATCTAAAAAATATAAGTATAAGGGTGAGAAATTGCAATTGGGTATAAGTTTGAGGGGTGAGGAAGCCCTACAATGAAATTCTTGGGATCGGACGACAGGGCTGGTTATAATTACAGATGTTAAAAATTATCAAAATACTTATACAATGAAACAATCTTTCACTACCTTTGCAGTATTAATGCAAATTCAAAATATGCAAGAGGCTATTCTAATTCTAGAATTTATATATGTATTTTTATAAATCAGTTTGTTTTATTTGAAATAACCTTGTTGATTTGTCACTATCTGGGCTATTTACCATTTGCCATGCAATAATGTTACATGATAACCTAATGAACCATAACAGACTGACACTTTTTGGTCATGAATATTTTTTTCAAATATGCTTCTCTTATGGCTTGCTAATTTGTGCTTGTATCAAATTAAAAAATGTGCTACACATTCACACACAGCTAACTCAATTGTCATCAAAATTTTGAAGAAGGGATTGATTTGAAAGAAATTGCTGCTGCAAATACTTTGTAATAAATATAATCTCTATGAAAAAATGATAGCAGCAAGTAGTCTATAGAGAGCCAGTATAATTAAAGGCGGTGAGGCAGTTCAGTTTAGTCCTCGGAGGAGACCACGCATCTCCAGCCTTCTTTGCATAAAATTGGCTGCAGTTGTCAATAGTCTGCAGTAGCCACTTACCACAGGTGAACTGCCAGCTTGCTTGTCACTGCTATTTTATTAAAAAGTGCAGAGTAGGGCAACCCATACTGATCTGATATATCATAGAAAAATTGATGGATGCAGGTGGTTTAGACCATAAAAAATATGTATAGATACACCAGCAATTCGCCCCAGCTTCCGATGGGTGATTTCTGGATCTCAACAACAGCACCATCTACCGGGTGCAATTGCGGTCAATAACATAACCAGGGAACCCAACATGGAATTTCTTTTTATTAAAATCAGTCGCCATTTTCGTGTTTTAGCAAGGTTGCATGGACTGCAATTGATTTTTATATAAAACATATACATACATTATTAATAATGAAATAGTAATAACAATGTTACATTTTTTCATCAACACATAATTTTTTTGGCAGAGGCTCATCACATTCAAGTTTGTTTTTTAGTCCAAAAATTATATTTCTTGTTAACTTTAATGTGACTCGCATCATCTCCTTTTTGGGTGACACATCTCTTACTTGGAATACACTTAAATTACTACCAGATATATCACCAATGTTTTCCATAACCAATTGTTCAGCTACCTTAAAAGGATCATCCCCAACAGCAAAACAATATACATAAACAATGATTTCAAAGTTATATTTGTCAACAAGTGATTTATCATTGATTAAACCATTGAAATGTTTAAGGAACTCAACAGCCATTGCTGGTAAATTCATTGTAATATGTATTGTAGCATTTTCATTTAACTCTTCTTTACCTTGGCATAACTTAACTATATAATCTTTAAATACTGTGCAAATAAAATCTTTCCCATCAAGGTTGTATGACTTAAAAAGAGACATGTTAACTTTATTTTGTTTAGCATTATGGTTTAACCAAGTGAATGAGTCAGGATTTAAATCATTAGCAAATACATTACACTTGCGTTTTGCTGCTGGTATTGTAAATGGACCCACTCCACAAAACACATCAAACAAAACATCCCCAGGCTTCAGAAGTTTCAAAATTCTCTCGTGTTCTGTACAAAGACGTGGATTCCAATATACTTTTGAGAAATCAAACTGGAAGTTGCAGAGATTTTCCTTTACAGTGACAACAAAATCTTCTTCGCCTGCAATGACCTCCATACTGAAGTTTCTGTAGGTATTATCAATTGTATTTTTCTTATTAACTACAGTTCTGCAAGTTTTGAATTTATCAACTAATACTTGGCCAATCAGACTTTTATAATCTAGAAGATGATCACGTAAATTTAAATGAATAATATGACCTATTTGAGAAAAACCTCTGACAATTTCTTCATTTTCAGGTAACACTGTCTTGAAAATCGCATCATACTTAAAATTTTCATATGTAAGTTGTATTTCCTTAGAGTCAAAATTTTCTTCCGTTACACCATACTTGATGAGAGATTGGCGATCATCTTCAGTGATGTCAATCCATTGATTGATCTTCTCGGGATTCAAATGGATGCATTTTCTATTTGAACCTTCAATATCATCATGTAAAGACTGAACGGGCTTAAAATTTTCAAGTTTCAACAGATAATGTTTGCATATTGGGGTAATTTTAGACACTTTTTCTCCAGGCACTTTAAGTATCGGTACTAACACGTTACGCAAAAATTTCTGACGGTCAAGTATTTTCATACCACGGACACCGACAGGAATCAATGCTACGGATAGTATAGCAGTCATTTTATATGAAAATCTACGAAAAAAACATGAATATAATTCATAAATAGAAATGTAAACGCTGCTGTTACAAAGTGAATAAATTTTTCATACTAACCTATTCAGGACATTAAAACTTGAGTGTTAGTATATGTATGCGTCTAAAAAACTGTACACTTTATCACTTTACATCACAATAATTATCAAAAATATAATCATAATCAGAAATAAGTAAGATTCGTGGAAGTTGTGAAATGTGAAAGTGACACTTTTGCAGTAATCTATGGTGACAGTTGTCAATGTGACACAGCACAACGAATTTTAAATATGTCTGGCTTGGATGCTTGTCTTTTAAGCCATGTCTTCATTTATTTCATTTGCAAGCTTTTTTTCTTCACAATATGCTGATGCGTCACATTGCGAAGTTTTTAGAAAATAATAAACCTAACCACATATATTCATAAAAGTAGAAATTTTAGAAAAAAGTTAATTGTGCAAAAAATTAAAGAGCAAACCACTGATGCATTGTTTGCGTATTAACATTATACTCTAGAAACTGATAAAACACTCGTATATATGTACCGGCACGAAAGTCAACCGTTACTGCACCTAGGTCAAAAATAAGGTATCATTTGGTAGTAAGCGGGTCGTGGGGCGGGCGTGCGTATCGTTGATTCGCTGTGCATATCGTTCGCATGCGCTGATTGGGTATTGTTACTTGCGTACGGCTACGACTATTGGCGTACTGATACGACATGCGCAGCTATCCCCTCCACGTTTCATTCAGCGCTAGAGTTACGTACCGCGACTTGTATCTTTTGATTTACTAGAAGAATGGTATCCCTATTCTTCTTCCTATTTTAAGGAAAAATGAGGCATTATTTCACAAGACATGACGTCTTTAGTCTACAGTAATTTCGTTGTCAATGTTGGTAACAATAGACCGATAATATATTCCTTTTGGTTTATTTATTTATTTTTTATATCACTAAAATATAGAAAATATGACTAGACTTATTATCGAGCGATGCGATGCGATGCACTTGGCGTTATTTTCGAAATCAAATGACGATGATTATATTACATTGTAAATATTCGTGTCAATAACTTTAAACACTAATAGTTAATGAGGAATGAATAATAAGTCTAATGTTCTAAACAGTCACACGGTACATAAGCGAGTTGAATCCCATTTGTAATCTCAATTTAATATGCTGATTAGGAGAAAATAAAACAACCGAGAAAGCTATTATAGCAGATATTATATATCTGCTTGGATGAAAATATTTCGAAATCTTGAAGTGAAGGCAGGATCTTGATAAGCGATGATAAGAGATACCATGTTTGACGGTGTCAGAGACCACTACCTCATATTTAGAAAATCTAAGACTCCTTGAAGAGCTTGAGTATCGTAAAAGGCGACAGATGAAAAACAAACGGACGATAGGCAGCAGTATGGTCATGATAGCAACTCAAAATAATAAAAAATTGCGGTAGCAAATGTGTGCTAAGAGTAAACTACGTCAAATATTCCCCCGATGCGACAATTTATGGAAAAGAACTATACTCAGCAGTAGATTTATGATAGACTGTAATTAGTGAATAAATGATGGAGAATATCTTAAAGGGAGCGAATAGGAAAACGGATAAACGGATAATTTATAGTCAATTTATGGGTAGTTGTGGTGTAGCGAGAAAAGACCACGGTCGTGTCGTACTATTTATTCTATCTTAAGTAGTGCCCTCTGGTTACGTTCCGTGAAGCTGAGAGGCGGTGTCGATTAGACAAAAATAAATAAAATATTTCAAAGGGGTACTTGATTACAATTTTACAATGATTATTAGAGGACTACGGAAAATGTGTCAGAAATATATCGGTTGAATTTAAGTAGATTTTGTAGTGACCTTTACAACGACATATTTTAACTTACCACATTAATACAAAATTTCGCATTATTGATTTACGTTTTGTTGTAAGGTGTCAGATGAAGCTTCATTATTTTAAGTAAGTATTATACGAATTGGATCAATCAAAACCCTTGATTTTACTATGTCGTAGACTAAATGAGTGTATACCAACGTGAGCTATGAGCGTACGTGGCGCTCATTGCCTATTATGCAAAGTGTAAAAAATATAGCTCGAAGAACCGACAACCGTTGCGGAAAAAAGTGTAAGGAACGAAACGAAACGAAGTGTAAGGCGACTAGATGGAGTGACGACCTGGTAAGACATGCAAGAAGTCGATGGATGCAGGTGGCTCAGGACCGTGGTTTGTGGCATACCATGGGGGAGGCCTATGTTCAGCAGTGGACTTGTGAAGGGCTGTAATGATGATGATAATATATATATATATATATATATATGTGTGTGTGTGTGTGTGTATGTGTAGGCGAAGGAGGATCATCTTCAAATATTCTCATGATGGCTGCCGCAAATATGCGTGGGTTACAACATAAAAGACAAGAAAATACAATCGCAAATATATGGAACGCTTCCCGATGATGTTTTTCTCAAAAACCCTATGAACAACAATGTCTGTCATGTTATGAACGATATGACCCTTTACTAGAGTAAAACTCTTTCACTCTTGACCTAACCAGTATTTTATAGACGTGCCTACCCCTACCCTACCCGGCCAATCCTGACATACGACCGTCCTCGGGCGTGTATCTTCATTAATTCCTGTAACAAACACTATTAATCACCACTTCCTCCGCTCGTCTATCCTGACATGAATAGGTACACTGTCCCTATCTTTGGACATTTACACACACATAGGCGATTACGTTTGACCTCACGCAAAACTAATATTGGCTAAGGTGTCCTTTTGACCAGCCATAATCTCATATAACAACGTGGACTGGACGTGGTAAAAAAATTAGCTGCATGATCTTTCAAAGCGATTGTTAGTTTACTACGGGCCGCCCTCCGCAACTCCACGTCCAAGCGCGTATCCTTCGAACGGGAAGGAACACCGTGACTATGCGACCCATGAAATCTCCCCGAAGAAGTTCAACAGTCCTTTGATGTTGTGAGCGATTTCGGGAAGTGATCCCGGCGTGCCGAGATATGCCAGCAACACGTGGGCCACCGTTTCCTCCTGCTGCTCCTTTCCGCCTCCATACATGCCCTACACAGGGGACTATATGTAACACCTATAGTAAATAAATGTTTGTTAAAGGAGCAATACTCTGTAATGGCACTTGTTGCTGTCCTGATCTGTGGCTTGTTCAATCTCATTAATACCCTGGTTTAAACGACTGTTTATTTCTGGCAGGGCCTCCCTAGTTTGCTTACAGTCCACTAGATTTTACCAAAGCTGAGCGTGTTGATAAGTAGAGTTTTTACGTACCAGTGAACGACCGTTACGAAAAGGGATCTATGTGATCGGTTCCGGCCCTATAACGGCCATAGCCGATCCTCTCCTGGCCAGTTCGTCTTCTACGTTGTTGCCCTGGATCCACTGTGTCCCTTGATCAATGCAGAGTCACATTATTGTGTTTATTCCAGTTTAGTTTACTGTTGGAGGTAAGACCTAAGTATTTTGCCCGAGAGGATAACTGGAGTACTGCGTTGAAGAGACTTGACAGGTGATAGTTATTAGGTATTTGTTTTTGTGTGAACATTATTAAAACCGTTTTATTTGGGTTAACGGTTAAATCGTATTCCTGACACCAATTCTTCATTATACGTAAAGCCACTTGGGTCAGCTCGTACACCATGCTTGCTGTTTTTCCCGAGACTAGTATTGTCAGGTCATCTGCATAGCCAATTGTATACAAGTGATTGGCATTTAATTTGCTGATTAGTTCATTTGTGACCATATTCCACAGGAGAGGTGAAAGAACCCTGCGTGCAGCTTTTCTTTATTTTGGACTGCATGAGATTCACCAGCAATCTTTATTGTTCGTTAACTATGCATGTTTACTATCGAGTCAATCACCGCCGGTTCAATTCTGTCTACTGCAACTTTTATGCTGGCGATTGACTGTTGTTTTAAGCGATTTTAAATGCCATTAACAAATCAAATCATTTACTATCTAAGCGTTTATTTTGTGTAAAATTTTGACAACATTACATCATCTCTCTTTATCCGAATCTGGATCGTCCGGATTAAAATGCAAAAGTTGCTACTCGTACATCGCTTCTGAATAATTTACAACTAAATCGCAATAACAAATATGCACCAATGCGTGCAATGCGACCAAATAGTAACAACAAGTGACTGAAAGTATGAACGTTTCGATATACCGCCGGCAACTTCTGCAATACTTAATTCTACTTCAACTATATAAATTCAAAGTAAACTGTAGTTATCACAAAATAAAATGTCTAAGAACCATAACCTTTTTAATCATTCGTTACGCAACAAATGTGTGGTGCTTAATATGTAGTATATATACAACAAAGCAAAATATATTTACGGTAAAAACAATAATATATTTCCTTTGGCTCCAGTCAGGTTTTGGTTTCAGGACAAGTAGCTTATACCTACATTACATAAGTAAGGTAGTGACACCTTAATCACAGTAGTGGAGTTGTCCTTCTACTGTCAAAACAATTCTTACAACCATGATAAAATTATTAATAAAAACCCCCTCACAAAAAAAAGCAATTGAGGTATTACTATAAAAAGAAATAGTGGTTGTAAAACTTTACTTACTTACTTACACTTTTCTAAGAGCACTTATCTCTATGTTCAGTCATCCTCGTTAGACAGCAGCCTCCAAAAAAAATTGTCTGACCCTGCAGGCCATCCCTGGAACTTATATATAATTATATTCGATTTCAAAACGCTCGACAATTAATATTTTTCGAACTTATTCGAACGAACTCATTAGGTACATCAAAAACGATCCGAGCAAATATTTCGAAATTATTAAAAAACACTTTTTTGAAAGTTTTGACGGCGATAACTTAAACTTAGCCAGAAAGCTGGCGTACAGATTATAGTAATTGCAATTCAAAAACTATCCAACACCTTTAATAAAAATAGTTCGTATACGTCCAATAATGAAGAGGT